AATCTCACTTTGTTTCTCAGGCTGGAGTGCAGTGGTATGATCTTGGCTCACTGCAACCTCTGCCTTCTGGGTTCAAGCGATTCTCATGCCTCAGCCTCCTGAGTAGCTGGGATTACAGGCACCTGCCACCATCACACTGGCTAATTTTTGTATTTTTAGTAGAGACTGGATTTCACCATGTTAGCCAGGCTGGTCTTGAATTCCTTACCTCAAGTGATCCACCTACCTCGGCCTCCCAAAGTGCTGGGATTACAGGCATGAGCCACCATGCCCAGCAACTGCCATTCTGGTTCAGGAGAAATCGGGGTGTTCCCCTGAAAGACACTGGAGCCGAGACTGTGGAGAGAACTCTGCTCGTCTCGTGCGTGTGATGATGACTTTTGCAAGTGGTCTGGTTTCCCCTGTATGCCCCTGTTTCTCTGGCGATCCTTAAATAAGCCAGGTATGAGATAGTCTCCCCCGCTGCGGTCACCCACAAAGCAGGGCAGGTGGACCGAAAGTTGGTAACGCCTCTATGCTTTCAGCCGCCAAGCTGAGCCACCAAAGAAGGAGGCCACCACTACGGGGCCACAGGTGAAGCGAGCAGATGAGTGGAAGGACCCTTGGCGCCGATCCAAGTCTCCCAAGAAGAAACTCGGGGTGTCGGTCTCCCCAAGCCGGGCTCGAAGGCGTCGGAAAACGTCAGCCTCATCAGCCTCTGCCTCCAATTCCTCCAGGTAAGGAGGGCTCGTGGTGTGTCAGCTCCTCCACACCGTCAGCTGAACACTGTGTACCTCACTGGGTCAGGTCGGGAACACCCTGGACCCGCTGTTGCTGTGCCGTCGTTGCCTGAAGACCAGTCAGTGGGACTAACCCAGCGTTTATACGTTCAGCAAAGAGCACCAGTGCCAAGCAGGACTGACACGGCGACCCCACAGGGGGCACGGACCCTGGCGACTGAGCCCGACTGCTCCCAGGGAGTGGCAGGCTACGCTGGAGGGAGGGGCACCTGGGTGCGGGAGGACGCACAGACCTGGGCCGGCGAGTCCATCTGTTCCTCCGCAGACCTGGGCCTGCAGCTCTGCTCCTCCGCGTGCGGCCCTGGTCTCAACACACAGGAAGTGGTTCGGGCCATGAGAGCCTGGCTCCCAGAAAGCAAGGGCCCGGGGTGGACCTTACGGTACTCCATCAGAACAGGAGATATGGGTGGGAGGCCAGGCTTCACAGTGGGTACAGATGGACAGATATGTACACACATGGCACAAGTGAGCTGGGTCAGCGCACATACTCCGGCTCTGTCCACTCAGGCAGTCACCCAGTAACAGTGGGCCCACGCCATGTCCAGGTCTTGATTTCTAAACCCCGTTCTCCACTGAGGAGGGATGGGACTGAAGAGTGTCTGGGAGAGGCTGTGTGCGCCTGTGCGGCTGTGTGTCCAGGTCTGCACTGGAGGGCAGCAGCTCAGCACAGGGCGTGCATGGCAGGGCCTCTCACCGCCTGCCACGCTCCCTCCCGCCCACCCCAGGTCATCTTCTCGGTCATCGTCCTACTCTGGCTCCGGCTCATCCCCGTCGCGATCCCGGTCTTCATCCTACAGCTCCTACTCCAGCCGCTCTTCCAGACACAGCTCGTTCTCAGGAAGCCGGTCCAGGTTCGTCCCCGGGGCTCGTCCGGGGCCCTCAGCAGGTGCAGCCAGCGTGGGCGCCTGTGGATGTGGCTCACGTCGTACCAGTAGCTCCTTGGGGTACCGAAAGCCCCTTCTGGCAGCCGAACTATGGTGGCCAGGGGTCAGGTCCTGTGTCCCCCACCAAACACTAGCCTTGCGGGCCCTCGTCCTGGAGCAGATGGTGCTGTCACTGAGAGTGACAGCCGGAGACCCTCAAGTTGAGTCCCGACAGGCCGAGGAAGGGGCCAGATGCAGCCCTGTCCTGCAGGTGTTTCTGAGGGAGCCGTGCTCATGCCCCGCTGCCAAGGAGCCTGTCCCCTGCCATCCTGCACACACGTGAACATGGCACATGCCTCTCAGAGGACCCACCAGTGGGTGCTGACACCTTCCACACTCCAGTCTGCTCTGGACAGAATAGGTGCAGAACTGAAGTTCAATCTGAGGCCCATACGTGGAAATTTGTGGCCTGTTCCATGGGTCTGGGTGGGTCCTCAGTGGCCTTGGGCTGGTGAAGAAACACCCCCAGGCCCTTCCTCACACCTTTGTTCACTCCCCCAGGTCCCGGTCCTTCTCTTCATCCCCGTCCCCGTCCCCAACACCTTCCCCACATAGACCTTCCATCAGAACCAAGGGGGAGCCGGCCCCACCGCCTGGGAAAGCAGGGTGAGTCCCCGGCCTGTGGGCAGGTCCTGGCGGCCCAGCCTCCAGAAGCTGCAGCTTCTTCCTTCCGTCTCTATCTCTCAATTGCATTTGGGACCAAAGAGATGAGGATGCCTCGGGGGTCTGTCCGCAGAGGGTAACTGGGCTGGGGGTCACTGGGCGCAGCCCCTGTTCTCAAGCTGCCCTTGCACTGCAGTGTTCCCCCCAGACCCCTGGGGACATGGCAGCAGCCCCGGGTGTTCTCACGGGATCTCTCTCTCAGTCTGCTCTCCTCACTCCCTGGTGTCTGCAGCTCTTGCCTGTCTTAGGGGAGCCTGGAAGGGCTGCTGGGGGCTTTGAAGCCATTCCCAAGCACTCTGCCACTGATCGGTGGGGAGCCATGTCCAGACACCAGCCTGCTCACCTATCGTCACAGGCATGCAGTGTCGTGCCCTGAGGTTCGGGTGCATTTAAAGGGGACATGGGCCAGTGGGGCCTCGTCCACTAGCCCTGCCCTGCCCAAGCTTCCCTGTTTCACAGAGAGAAGTCAGTGAAGAAGCCAGCCCCGCCTCCAGCCCCACCACAGGCCACCAAAACCACTGCTCCTGTCCCCGAGCCCACCAAACCAGGAGACCCCCGGGAAGCCAGGAGGAAGGAGCGGCAAGCCAGAACCCCCCCGAGGAGGTGAGCGTTCCTGCTTCCAGGGCCTACGGCTTTCTGTGTCCTTGGTGCCACCGTGATGATGGCACTGGTGGAAATCAGGAGTGTCAGGGTCCAGAGCCAGGTGGTGGGAGGCACCCCCCAGCAGAGCAGCAGCAGCCAGTGAGCCCTGACCTGGGAACCTGTCCCGCTCCCTCTCTGAGCCTGTTTTTCTGGAGCATGAGGGGAAAGGACAGCGTAGCAGGGATCACCGGCCGTCCCTCCACAACCCCTGTCTGCACTGAGAGGTGCTGTCCCTGAGAGAGTGCATTTTTGAGAAACACTGCCTAAAGGAAAATAGCCCAGGCCCTTTTCCAAGTCGGTGGCAAGGCCAGTCTGGAGCCTCACCTCGCAGGGCTGCTGGTGGGGAGGGGAGGCCGTGCCCGTGAGCCCAGCTGTTGCTTGTGTTACAGGCGGACGATCAGCGGCAGTGGCAGCGGCAGCGGCAGCAGCTACAGTGGCTCCAGCTCCCGATCCAGGTCATTCCCGTCACTTGTGCCTGTGTCTCCCTCCCCAGCAGGGACAGGAAGTCCCCAGAAGAAGCCAGCCTGTGGGATGGGGAGTCTCCCACAGGCAGGCTGGGGCCAACTCTGGGGCTCCTCTGGGTCTGAGTCACCCTGATGCCGTGGAAGGCTGTGGTCGAAACTGATGAGACGATAAAATGGGCCAGGACTCATGTGATAGGGAGATCCCCCCCCCCCGCGACACAGCTTGCGGACTCGAGGGTGCTCAGGTCAGGAGCAGGGGCCTCCACCCTGCTGACTTGATGCCCACCTCCCCGGCACCTGGGGAGGAGCAGGCAGCTTCCAGCCCAACAGAGGCAGAGGCTGGGCCTGCAGGGCCTGTCACACCCCAGCAAGGGAACCAGCCTGAGGGACTGAGGAAGCCAATAAAAAACATGTCAGAGAATACATGGGAAAGATTTGGGGCCAGGCACGGGGCTCACACCTGTGATCCCAGCACTTTGGGAGGCCAAGGCAGGAGGGTTGCTTGAGCCTAGGACGTGAGGACCAGCCTGAGCAACATGGTAAGATCATCTCCACAGAAAAAGATTTTTTTTTATTAGAGACAGTTTGATTCTTACTGCCCAGGCTGGAGTGCAATGATGCAATCTCGGCTCACTGCAACCTCTGCCTCCTAGGTTCAAGCCATTCTCCTGCCTCAGCCTCCCAAGTAGCTGGGATTACAGGCATGCTCCACCACCCCAGCTAATTTTGTATTTTTAGTGGAGATGGGGTTTTACCATGTTGGTCTGGCTGGTCTCAAACTCCTAACCTCAGGTGATCCGCCCCCCGCCTTGGCCTCCCAAAGTGCTGGGCTTATAGGTGTGAGGCACTGCACCCAGCCCAGAAATTTTTTTTAATTAGCTGGGTATAGTGGTGTGTGCCTATGGCCTATGGTCCTAGCTACTTGGGAGGTCAAGGTTGCCATGAGCTATGATCACACCACTGCATTCTAGCCTGGACGATGGAGTGAGACCCTGTCTCAAAAAAGGATTTCTGAGGTTTAGTTGTTTTAAAAGAAGACAGTATTGAATCCGTCTTTAGATTCCTTATGTAGAACTCTCATTTCTAGGTAGCAGGTGGTTTATATATAGTTGTCAGACTTTTTTTTTATTATTTGTTTATATTGTTTTTGGAGAGACGTGGCCTTGGTATGTTGTCCAGGCTGGTCTCAAACTCCTGGGGGCTCAAGTGATCCTCCTCCCTTGGTCTCCCAAAGTCCTGGGATTATAGGCGTGAGCCGCCACGCCTGGCCTAAAATGTTTCTTCATAGGTCTGAAATGTTTTAAAGACCTGACTTTTGTAAAAGAAAAAAAATACATTGGTTCTCTTATCCCTCCCCTTGGGAACCCCCTCGCCTGGCCCACGAATCTTGCCCATGTATTCTCAACACCCTCGGGAGACGTGGTTGTGTTTTCCTGAGCAGCAGATGAGGCGGACTCAGGTGCCCGTCCTGTGTGCTCTGTGTCCACGTCCACGTCGAGTGTGCACCGGAGGAGCCGCAGACCTGCTGTTTCTGTCCGGCTGCCGTGTTTTCCTAAGGCATTCCCTGAGACTGCAGTCGCTCATTGTGTTTTTAATTTCCTTGTGGGCTGAAGTAGTCTCCCTTTGGTCACAGGTGTCTAAGCCAGGGACTCTGCTTCAGTTCCACCTTTGCCACTGTTGGCTAGGCTCAGTCCTGTTCCCCTTCCCAACAAGCAGCCTGACAGCCATGGGGATGTCCCCTACTGTGTAGCCCTGGAACTCCCCAAAGTACCCCCAGTGTCGCACACTCCGTGGGTACATAGTCCATAAATGGACACTGGGTAAAAGCGGATCATGGGGCCCCCGCCGGCGCCTCCCTCCAGTCTGTGGTTGGACTGTGGCGAGATGTTCTTGTGTGTCCAGGTCCCTGAGCGTAAGCAGTGTCTCCTCAGTGTCCAGCGCCACGTCCAGCAGCAGCTCTGCACACAGTGTGGACTCGGAGGACATGTACGCAGACCTGGCCAGCCCTGTGTCCTCAGCCAGCTCTCGGTCCCCGGCCCCAGCCCAGACCAGGAAGGAGAAAGGTACTTGGGGCTCTGGTGCTTTCAGGAAGCAGCTTGGGGAGGGGCGGAGGGGGGAGGACGACATAGGCACAGACTGCCTGGCTGTTGGTGTGGCCACGGGAAAATCACTAGCACCTCCATGACTCTGGATTTTTTGGCAGGAAAATCTAAGAAAGAAGACGGTGTTAAAGAGGAAAAGCGGAAAAGGGACTCATCCACACAACCACCCAAATCTGCAAAACCTCCAGCAGGGGGGAAGTCCTCCCAGCAGCCGTCGACGCCCCAGCAGGCCCCCTCTGGGCAGCCCCAGCAGGGCACATTTGTTGCCCACAAGGAGATCAAGTTGACACTGTTGAATAAGGTGAGGGCAAGGGCCCTACTGGTGGCTGCCCCAGCATCTAGGCCGGGGTCCTTCTTCCTGAGAGCTTCCTCCTGGGGAACGGAGCCTGAGTGAGGGCCAGTGGGCCATACGGGTGTCGGTACGGCCTATCACATGTGGGCCTGGGCCGGGAAGTGGGAGCATCCTGGGAGGGTCGGGTGCTGCCAGCGCCTCTGTGAACAGAGAGCATGTTCCCTGTGTCTCTGGACAGAGAGGGGGTACTCTCCGTGTTTGTGGCCTCCATTCCCTGCAATACAGTCTGTCCTCTGCCCTCTGCTGGAAGGGCGAGAGGCCTGGCTTGAAGGGATCCCATGTCCTCCTAGAGTGGCCCCCATGGGAGGAGGAGAGCAGCCCACAGGGTGCTTCCTGTGGAACATGATCGGCCCCAAGTGCACAGTGGGGGTGCCCTTGGTCCGGGTTATGGAGGCCTCACTCAGGGCCACAGGGTCTCACAGGCGTGTGGGGGGATCCTTGGGGGCAGAGCAGGTTGCTGGCGATGACCCCTCTGGGGCGAGGACACGGCTCCTGGCTCCTGGCCCGGTCATCCTCACTGGCCTCTTTTGTCCCAGGCGGCTGATAAAGGAAGCAGGAAGCGCTATGAACCGTCAGACAAGGACCGGCAGAGCCCTCCTCCAGCCAAGCGGGCCAACACATCCCCAGACCGAGGTGAGCCTCCCAGCCCCTAGGGAGCAGACAGAGGGGAGCCTGGCAATGCGGGGGAGCTGGTCTCAGACCCCGTCGCTCTTAACAAGTATGGGGAGGGCCCAGGAAACGTCTGACTTACAGATTGTATCTGTCAATATTTACGGTACTGAAAACTAAAACTAAGAAAAAAATTTAAATATTTGTTTAAAAATAACAGGGCTGGGCATGGTGGCTCGTTCCTGTAATCCTAGCACTTTGGGTGTCCTAGGCAGGCAGATCACTTCAGGTCTTGAGTTCAAGACCAGCCTGGCCAGCATGTTGCAATGTGGTCTCTCATAAAAGACATCAGTTAGCCAGGCATGGTGGTGGGTGCCTGTGACTCCAGCTACTCAGGAGGCTGAGCCCCAAGAATCGCTTGAACCCAGGAGGTGGAGGTTTCAGTGAGCCAAGATTGCACGACTGCACTCCAGCCTGGGCAACAGAGCAAGACCCTGTCTCAAAAAATAAATAAACAAAAATAATAAAAATAACAGTAATAGGCTGGGCACAGCAGCTCACGCCTGTAATCCCAGCACTGTGGGAGGCCAGTGTGGGCAGATCATTTGAGATCAGGTGTTCAAGACCAGCCTGGCCAACATGGTGAAACCCCATCTCTACTAAAAATACAAAAATTAGCTAGGCTTGGTGGGCTCCTGTAATCCCAGCTACTCAGGAGACTGAGGCAGGACAATCACTTGAACCTGGGAGGCAGAGTCTACAGTGAGCCGAGATCACGTGAGACTGTATCTCAAAAAAAAAACAAAATGGCCGGGCGCGGTGGCTCAAGCCTGTAATCCCAGCACTTTGGGAGGCCGAGGCGGGTGGATCACAAGGTCAAGAGATCGAGACCATCCTGGTCAACATGGTGAAACCCCGTCTCTACTAAAACTACAAAAAAATTAGCTGGGCATGGTGGCACATGCCTGTAATCCCAGCTACTCAGGAGGCTGAGGCAGGAGAATTGCCTGAACCCGGGAAGCGGAGGTTGCGGTGAGCCGAGATCGCGCCATTGCACTCCAGCCTGGGTAACAAGAGCGAAACTCTGTCTCAAAAAAAAAAAAAAAAAAAAAAAAAAATAACTAAATCAATAAAAATAACAGTAATAAACCACTGTATTTTTTTACACTCATGCCATTTTCGCAAAAAACATATTTTCCAAAACAAATGAGCAGGAATGGTGTTGGTTTTTCTATTTTTGCAAATTGTTATAAAGTCTGGCTGACAGGAGACCGCTGGACCCTCATGCCTTGTGCACTCTGGAAACCCTCCCAGCCTCCTGAGGACTCAGTGACAGGGCAGACAGTGTCCGTGTTACTGTTGAGCCACGTAGATCTGAAAGGATTTCGGGCGCCCCCAGCCATCCTGACCTCACCCCAAGAGCCGAGGCCCAGATGGAAAGATAGGGAGATGGTCCTGGCTGGCTTTGATGGGTGGAGCACAAACCAAGCAGAGGCACAGACACCCCCAGACGAAGGGAACAGGCAGGGGCTTCCAGACCCCTTCCCAACTGGTCCTTTAGGCTTGTCAGGCGTAGGAAGGGGAACTGCTCTCCTTTGTCTCTAAGCCCAGGGCCTGTGCCCTGTGCAGCTGTCCTGGAACAGCCTTGCTGTTTTTGCCTGGGGTCAGAGCCAGGACCACTGGGGTCCTGCTGACCTTGGTTCACTCGAGCCTCGGGCCTGTGCCGGCCAGTGGTCCCTCCCTGCCTCTCTCATCCCGACAGTGTCTGAGGGAAACACTCCTGGTCTCTCGGCTTTGCTTGTGTTTCTTCACTGCCATGTCTTTCTTCTCGTTCCATATTTGAAGACCCACATGATCAGTTTCTTCAGAGCTAGGAAGTTTGGTCTTTCTGCGAGATAGTGGCTGCTCGGTGGAACCTGGAGTCCAGGTTTGGCCTCAGCCTCGTTTCCAGATGTGTTGGTGCCCACGTCTCTCTTCTCTTCTGCTTGGCTCTTGCCTTTTCATCTCTTTATAAAAATGAAGGAAGTGGGCCAGGCACGGTGGCTCACGCCTATAATCCTAGCACTTTGGGAGGCCGAGGCGGGCGGATCACAAGGTCAAGAGATCGAGACCATCCTGGTCAACAAGGTGAAACCTCGTCTCTACTAAAAATACAAAAATTAGCTGGGCATGATGGTGCGTGCCTGTAGTCCCAGCTACTCGGGTGGCTGAGGCCGGAGAATTGCTTGAACCCAGGAGGCGGAGGTTGCGGTGAGCCGAGATCGTGCCATTGCACTCCAGTCTGGGCAACAACAGCGAAACTCCGTCTCAAAAAAAATAAATAAAAAATAAAAAAATAAAAAAAAACGAAGGAAGTGAACTGAGCAGCCTCAGGCTTTAGGAGTGGGTCCCTGGCATCCCCTGTAAACCAGGAAGGTGGTCTCACTCTGTACCTATCACACAGGTTCTCGGGACCGGAAGTCAGGTGGGAGACTGGGCTCCCCGAAGCCAGAGCGGCAGAGAGGCCAGAACTCCAAAGCTCCTGCAGCCCCATCTGACAGGTGAGTCCCACCCAGGTTGTGCCCTGGCCACACCGGGAGGGCTAGACCAAGCCTGTCCCTCGGGGAGGCCAGCAGTATCAGGGCCAGCCCTGAGCCAGGCCCGAGGCTCCGCTTAGTTCAGAAGGCAAGAGGACAGCCCAGGCTGGAGGCGTCACTCCAGCTTCTGCTGAGCAGACAGGGTGAGCGGCAGGGAAGGGCAGCCCCATCCCCACAAACACACTCCTGCCCTGGTCAAGGCTGCCCTCTGCTCCCAGTGCCCTCGGACAGAGTGCCCTGGGCACAGAGGTGGGAAGAAGAGCAGCAGGTTGTGCGGGGCCGGACCAGGCCTGCTTGTGGCAGCATCAGCCCCTACCTGTCTTGGTGGCCAATGAGGGCGCAGTGGAAGCTCCCCTACAGGGAGGACAACCTCGTTGCCCTGTCCACCTGCAGACGAGGCTCACAGTCTTCCCCACCCGCTTCCAGGAAGCGCCAGCTGTCACCCCAGTCTAAGAGTTCCAGCAAGGTCACCAGCGTGCCTGGCAAAGCCTCGGATCCCAGCGCCGCCGCCAGCACCAAATCAGGGAAGGCCAGCACACTGTCCCGGCGGGAGGAGCTGCTGAAGCAGCTGAAAGCCGTGGAGGACGCTATTGCGCGCAAGCGGGCCAAGATCCCCGGGAAAGCATAGGCCGCGCCCCGACCGGACTGGACGTGTTTTTATACATAGGGTAAGCGCAGCCATTTTGGATTTTGCAGTTAATGTCTTATTTTGGCTGTGATTCTTTTTAAAAAGTAAAAAAGAAAAAAAAGTTTCTCAGCTGGAAAAGAAGCCACAGAGGAAATGATGCCGCTGAATCCCAGCCTCCCTCCTCAGAGCAGAAGTCCCGCCGGACAGACAGACACCCACAGCGCCAGTGACCAGCACGGTTCTCATGTAAATTACAAGCCCCAGCCGCCAGCCCCGCCGTCTCTTCTTCCTCCACCGTCTTCTTCCCTGGCCCCAGTCAGGCCCGAGGAGCCCCCACTCTGGGTCCCTGGCTCCGGGTCCAGGCAGCCAGGCCTCCTCCTGAGCCGAGAAACCGAACACCTCGTGAACCACTGGTGGCACCTCCTCCTCCTCACCCGCCCCCGGATCAAAAATATATATATATTCTCGACTAAAGTCTGATCAGGAAATACTTCCTGTCTTTTATTTTAAGCATCAAATTGTTTTAGTTGATTTAAAAAGGAAAAAATACAGAAAAGACCAAAAAAAGACCAAGGGTATTGTTGGGGCATCTGTCTAATGTGGAGGGTCTTTTTTTGAGGGGTCTCCTAAAATAAAATATTTTGATAAGCAGCTGTCTTTGCCCTTGTGGTGTGTGTGCCCTCTGCCCACGAGCAGCCGGGGCTGCCTCTGCTGCACACTGCACTCAGCCCGGCGCTCGGGAGCCACTGGAGGGTGAGGGTGTGGCCACGCTCATGCCCCACCACCTGCCCCAAGGACCCACCCTGGAGCAGGTCCGGCCTTCAGACCCAGCCGGCAGGTGGGGGAGGAGGGGCCGGCACAGTGCCTCAGTTCCCCCATTTGTGGGGCTGGGCTGGCACTCATGCTGCTCCCCCTGGGCTGTGCTGGGGCTTCCTTGGTCCGTGAGGTGGAGGCACCTTCCCTGCACAGGCCATGGTGCTGGAGGCCGAGGGTTCAGGGCCAGCTGCCAGCCCCCAGTGTGATGCCCCGTTCCATAGCAGGGGCCACAGGCAGAGCTCCCAGGACCCCGACTGCTGCTCCCTGTTCTGCATCTTGAGAGCCACAGGCCTGTGCCCCAGCAGAGGCCTCCCAAGCACACTCCAAGGCCTCCTTTAATCAGATTCAGGTAGCCACGGCGTGGCGCCGAGGCCTGGTGCCCACCCGTGTCCCTCATCTGCTGCCTGACATGAGGCTCGGGACAAAGGCCCTGAGAGCGAGCGAGCTCCCTCCCCCAGGGCCGCAAGCTGAAGCTGAGGGAGGCAGCCACCTGTACTTCTGTTCTGGTGTGACCTGCCTCCCAGCCACTCTCCCCTTGCATTAAATGGCAATTCGAGTGTGGGCAGAGGAGCTGCATGTGAGCCAGCACTGCAGACCCGCCCGTGTGCTCCTGAGGGGACTGTTCCCCGCTTGATGTCCACATCCCTCCCACATGACAGCCCACTCAATTCATCATGGCCTGGATCCTGTGTTGGGCCAATTTTTTGAGGCTTACCCGATTTGCTCTCAGGTCAAAGCCAGGTGCAAAGGGAATTTCCATTCTCTGAAAAGGGTGGCCTTCAAGGCCACAGAGCTGGGGGCCAGGCCACCCTGGGTGCCAGCCTGTCATCTGTGGGCTGTACCACCAGGGCTGGAGGCCAGGAGATGCACTCTGCCCCGTGTGGGGCACCTCGAGCCAGCGCCTGCAGTGACTGCGTCTCTGAAGTCCAGGAGCGGACAGGTGAGCCCACCAGAGCCCCCCCGGGGACCAGGGCCAGGCGAGGCCCCTCTGCGGCTGCGCAGCCTCCGGCCACAGCCCTGGGCACCTGAGTCTGGAGTTCGGTTTCAACACGCAGCAGGTGGCAGCAGACCCTGGGCTCCGGAGCTCTTGGACGCCAGTACAGAGGGGCCTGTTCCAGGAGGGGGACTGCCCCCGTGGGGTCTAGTGGAGAGGGCGTTCAGCCAGGCAGCTGGGAAGGACAGCCTTGCCGTGTGATGGGCATCCTTGGGCGTCCACGCCCTCCAGGGACATCCTCCTCCGGGTGGTTGGCGCACACGTGCTCGGCTCCCCGCGCAGTGCCCAGAAAGCCTGTGTGGGGTTCTGGCAACGATGGCACCCGCCCTCCAGCCCCCTCCCAGGGGGTGCCCCAGAGCCTCTGCCCGCAGCCCCTCCTCCACAGCCACACTCCCACCCACCGGTTTGGCGGGGCTTTGGGTGGGCAGGAGGATGGAGAGAGGCGGCGGCCCTAGAGGGGCCCACACGTGTCAGGGGAGGCTGAGGCCCATGAGGCCACTCCTGCTGGGGAAAACCCATGGGGAGGGTCGCCGTGCCACAGGGAGGGGCCCTCTCAAGATGATTTTGCACCCCCGCTGGGCCAGCAGTGCCCCCACCCTGCCTACGCGGTTGTAGGAGCTGGCTGCGCGTGACCTGCTGTGCACCTGCACCATGGTGTTCGGGGAAGGCCCTGCAGAGCCCAGCTGCTTCCTCTCTGCCCAGTGCCCCTGACCCCCCCCCCGCCGCCTCGCCCCTTCTCTCGCCCGCTCCTCAGGGCAGCTAAAGGGCTCCTGGCCATGGGTCCCTCCTTGCCTGCATCTAGAGGGCATCTCCCTCGCTGCGGGTCCTGGGGTCTCAGCTGCCTCTGACCCGTCTGGCTCTGGCTCTGCGTTTGTCTGAGGCCCCTCGCTCTGCATAGGCCGACTAGGGTCCTGGGGCGTGGTCTGCTGGGGGCGGGCCGGGATGTGGTTCGAGAGCCGGCCTGTCTGGGTCCCCACCTCTGGCCCGCCCTCCAGCCTTCCTGCTGCCACTTTTCCAGTCTTGCCCAACCTAGTTATTTCTGCCCTTGCCTCAGCCACCCGCAGGAGCACCGGCCGCCCTGGGTCCTCCCGTCCTCTGCGCCCACGGGACCCCTTACCCCACCCAGCCTGCAGGTCCCTCCAGTCCCCTAGGCGTGGCTTCCAGGCCCTCCGACCCCCGGGACAGCACTAGGAGCCAGCAGAAGGTGGGGTGACGGGTCTCTGGCACTGTCCCATGGTACAGCCCGTGCCCCAGGGTCCAGCCATCCCACCTCAGAGCCAAAGCGGAGCGTGGATGGGGCGACGGCCGCTGGGAAGAAGGCCGCCCAGGTCAGAGGAGGAAGGCTGGCTGGAGCGAGTCTACTGGGGGTCTGCCTTCTTCCTTGCTCCCTGGGCACGGTGTAGGATGGGGGACCGCAGCCGAGGGTCAGGGGACAGGGAGGACACCCCTGTGCCTGGGCACTCCTCTCCCTCTGTTCACTCATTCCCTCCCTCCGCCCCCACCCACTGGATCCCTCCTTCCAAACTTATCCACCCAGCCATTTATTTCCTCAGGCAGACCAGGTCCTACCCCAGGGAACAGTGTGTGGCCATGTGGCAGACCTGTGCCCCGTGCCAGGAGGGAGGGTCACCAGCTCCCCCTGGGAATGGGAGCAAGAGTAGCGGGCCAAGGTGGAGGGCATCTCCCTCTTCCCCTCTTTTCCTGGCCTCTTCCTCCATTCCCACTGGCTCCTCCCCTCCGCTTCGTCTCTTTCTTGGGTATGGTTGAGCAGGTCTCGCACTGCTCAAGGGCTCCCAGCAGAGGACAAGGACTGACATCAGCTTGTGCATCCCCCTAACCCTGCATGAAGGCAGCCTAGGGGTCATGGACCGCAGGAGCTCCAACGCTCCCTCCTCAAGATCCCCCATCTGGCAAGCCCTGCAGCCCGAACCCCAAGCCACATCTGGGCAGGTCGGGCGGAAACATGGAGCGCTGGGGAGACCAGGCCTGGCCAGGCTGAGCGTGGTAAATTGTCAGGGTTTGCACAAAACGTCTTGGGCTCCAGCTGCAGGCCCCTCGGGATGTTTCCCAAGAGGCTTCCCTGGGTCCCCCTCTGTGGCAGGAGAAGGGCCCAGGGGCTGCTTCGAAGGTCTCAGCCCAGGCAAGGCCCCTGAAGATGCCAGAGCCAGGGAGGGGCCCAGCCTCCTCCCCGGGGCTGTGCTTGGCATGCAGAGGTTGGGGGTCCTGACAC